GGATGACTTGGAGGTGCACAAAAACGCCAGGTGTGTGGTGAACAAGATAAACAATAGTGCTGATGCTCTCTATCCAGCCTGGGAGCCAAATTCCTGCAGTTCGATGCTTGGTGGAAAGCCAGATTTCAAGGCCTGCCTGCCTCCAGCACTGCACTTAAGGTGCTTTTTGATGGCTGGGACTCCTGGGTTGTTCATGCAGGGGAGAAGACCCATAAATTCGTGGTGCAGACTATCAATGCTCAAGCCATAGAAGGTAGATTCTTTGTTTTTATCTGTGTTTTATTCATTATGTTTTTGTGATTATTCTAATATTTTCTTTTTAAGGCCAGTCTGTCCAGGCTGGGGAAGTGATTGGTAAGTTTTCCTTCATTTATCCCTTATGTTTATTTTTCCTGTTGGATTGATTTCTGAGCTGTCTGTTTCCTGTGCAATTACTTTTGTCATTTCTGCTGGGGATTTGGAGCTTCCTTCTGGAGATGAGGAGGATGAAACCCTGGCAGAACAACCTCCTGTTGAGGCTACTCCTTCTTCCAGAAAGAAAAGAAAAGAAACTGCTCCTGCTCAGGACAGTGCCGTCATGCCTGACACTTCTAGTAAGATTCTGACATTTCTTTGAATCTGTTCTGTTTTACGTATTCTTCTAACATTCATTTCATTGTTCTGTGCAGTTGAAAGTCCTCCTCCTGCTCTTACAACCACTTCTGGCACAGATGCAGAACTTAGGGAGACTTTTGAAGCTGTGGAGTAGGAGAAGGAGCAAGGAGAAGAAAAAGAATAAGCTCAAGAGAATACGAAAGAGATGGAGGAGGTGAGTCTTGTTTTTTGGCTGTACCAGAAATTTCTGTCTTTGTATTTCTTCTGTTTATGATTTCTACCTACTTGCAGGAGGAAATCCCTGCCGAAGTGATTGCAGAGAGCATCGCCTTGACGCAGAGACAACAGGAGGTCCCGAAGGCAGAGCTGACTAGTTCAGAGTTGGCTCTTTTTGAGGATGCAGAGGCAGAGCACTCCACTGCCGTTCCAGCATCTGAGGAGCAGGCGAAGCACTCTTCATCAGAGCTTGTGGAGTAGGCAGAACTACTTGTTGTAGTCCCAAAAGCTGGAGTGGAAGTGGCTGCTACTGTTCATGACGTTGTGGTAATTTTTATGCTTTAACTCTGTTCATCTGTTTCTGCAGTTCTGTCCTGTCTTTGCCTCTTAACTATTTCGTATTTTCAGGTAGAAGTGCCTAGAGCTATTGGCGTTTTGGTAGTGATAACTAGCCCTATGAAGCGTCCAATTGTTGTCGTAAGTGTAATTGCATTTCTGGGATTCTTTCTTTTCTGTTTCTGCCTGGTTCTGACTTACGTTCTTTTCTGCAGATGCCTATCCATTCCCTTCCAAGTTCATCTGTACCGCTTCCTATGCTAATCCAGAGTTGGCAGAATTTGAGGCTATGGATCTGGACGCCTAGCTGGATAAACTGGAGAAACTCAGTTATACTCTTGGCAAAGCCAAGTCCAAGGCAGTGGAGGAGGCTATGGAGAGACTGAAGATCTGGCAATCGACTGAGCTGGAGCTAGATGAGGACAGAGAGGCTGTTGACCAATTGATGAAGGATTTGGACCTCCTGCACAGACATAACATGGCTCTCAAAACCATACTTGAGATGAGCCTTGGCTTGGCAAGAGATGTGCTCAACCTTCACGACCGTTATGAGGATCTCAAGCCTACCTTAAAGACCTCTGAATTCTGCAAAGCCACTCATGAAGCCAACTTAGCTGATTATGCAAAACAGAAGGCAGAACTGCATTTCTAGACCAGATAGGCTGGAGAAGCAGATTAAAGAGCTTCAAAAGCAGTTGGCAGAGTGCAGGGAGGTGCAGAGCAGGCTCGGGACTAGACTGAACTCCAAAACCAAGGCCACCTTCCTCGTGCAGAGCATGGTTTCAGCTTCTAGACCAGCATTGGAGATTGCAGAGCCTTTAATTCACTAGGGGGTGCTGCTTCAAAAGGAACTCATGATCAAGAAGACCACTTTGCAAGAAACCCTTAGGAAATTAAGGTTTTAATTTAAATTATGAAATGTAATAAACTTTAGTCATGAAAAATGACTAATATTTAATAAAAGTGATTAGTTTTTGTGGAATTTTTCTATTGGCAAAAGTGAGCAAAAGTAAATTAAAAAACGTGTTTTAACATATTTACAAGGAAAGTAGATTTTGAACAGAACTTTTACACAACAGTTTCATTTTGCTCTCTCTCTATTCCAGGATCTGTCTGCACGGCTTGTGAATCCCACATAGATGGATAAAACTTCTTTAACCATTTGCCATTAATTGGTGCAGCATGAACATCTCCATCTCCGTTCTGTAATCTGTATGCCCTCATTCCAAGGATCTGACTAATTATGAAAGGACCTTCCCATGTAGGTGACCACTTTCCATAACCAGCTATATGTGTTCCAAGGGGCAGAACTGCTTTCCAGACTATTTCTCCCTCTTCAAAACTCTTGTTTTTAACTCTTTTGTTGTAGGCCCTTGATACAGCTTGCTTTCCTGCTAAGAGTTTGGTGAGGGTATCAATCCTACTTGCATCCAATCCTTCCAGTTCTAACAGTATGGCTTGAGAATAATCCTTTCCAACCAGATTGTGTTGATGAACGATTCTGAGGGACTGGACTACTATCTCCATGGGCAGAATTGCATCATGGCCATAGGTGAGAGCATATGGGGTCATGCCAGTTGCCTCCCTCTTTGAAGTACTATATGCCCAGAGAGTTTCTGATAACTTCTCATGCCATTGCTTTGGATTTTTCCCAAGCATTTTTCTGAAAATGTTGATAATCACCTTATTACTGGATTCTGCTTGTCCATTAGCTTGAGGATTGGAGTAGCTTAAATTTGAATGCCTCTGCTATATCCAGCATTTCTCCAGATATGAAAGAAGATCCCCTATCAATTGTGATTGACTCTGGAATGCCAAACCTTTGTATAATCTATTGTTCTATGAAGGTGATGATCTCTTGAGATGTAGTGGATTTAATAGGCTTGGCTTCCACTCATTTGGTGAAATAGTTTGTAGCTACAATGATGAAACAGTGCTGCTTGCTACTGGCTGGATAGATCTTGCCAATGAGATCCATTGCCCATCCTCTGAAAGGCCATGGCTTTACCACTGGATTCATGAGAACTGAAGGAGCCTGCTGGATTAGGTCGTGCCTTTGACAAGCCTCACATCCCTTGGAATAGTCAATGCAATCTTTCATCATGGTTGGCCAGAAGTAGCCATACCTTCTAATTACCCAGCACATTTTTCTTCCTCCTTGATGAGCTCTTGTTTGTGCCTAATAAATCACGGTCATGAACTGATTTAAGGGACTTCCCTTCGGCCCTGGCGCCTACCGTTTCGACAAGCATTTCGCCTTCCTAAGAACAAAAGAAAAGCTGCAAAGGCGGAATCCTCTCGGCCTCGCGACCGCAGCATTGAAGGCTGAGGCCGAAGGCCGTAAAAGACAAGGCTTAAAAAAGCTGTGGTTGAATCACCACGTGGCCTCAGGGCCCTACACTAGTCACTAGAAGCATTTAATGCACAAGGGAAGTGACTGAAGTCAGGATTTGGTGATGGAAATCAGGGTAGTTAGGCACAGACATTCTCACAAGTAATCTTACGACTTAAGGTCAAATCACCAACCACCAGACCAGGGCATTAAATGCGTTCCCACGGCCAAGGGGGCAGAACCCACGATCAGGGCGGTGGCTGAGATTTACCGAGATTTATGGGGGTCACACCACCATGCTTCACGATCCCAAATGCCGATTTGACTACCCACTTGCCCCGGTCAGGCTCCACCGCGCAGGTTTTATCAGCCTCGAATGTCCCTCCAGGACTCCTATAAATACTAAGCTCAGGACCACATTCAAAGGGTTCAAACACCAAACCAAAAGCCTCCCACGGAGCAAATTATATTTTCATGTAATGCACTTTCAATACCTTTATTTGTTTTCTTAGGTGTAGTGGTAGATTATAAAGAAAATCCATTCATCAATATATCATACGACCCTTGATTGGCGCCGGAGCACCATCTCTATTATCGCCTCACTCACCCCATATATCATACGACCGCCGCCCTCTGAGCAACGCGCCGGAGCACCGCCAAAAACCCACCACTAACACCACCACTAAACGGCCTTGTAGCTCAGGCCATGAACTTGATGGCCGAGATCAGTTCCTCTCTCGGCCACGATTGTTTGATTAGGAGTCGAATGCAAAACAGGCGCAACATTTAAACCATCTTCTACCCGAACCTAATCATCATCTCAACGCACGGTAGACCGTGCTGGCACGCCCGCGCGCAACCGCACCACATCCAAAAGGAGGACGTCACGTGTTGAAGCACATCCCCTCGGCCCGAAGCACCAGGCCGTGAGATTCGCGACAGACAAACAGCTCTACAAATTCCTTCATAAGTTTCTCCCATGACCTTCATGTATTCTTTCTTTCCAAGGCACTTTAGAAGTACCTCATCCTTGCTTTTTCGGACCAAATCTCCATTCCACATAAGATAATTTAAAGCCATGATCCTGACTCTTTTCTCATAAGGCAAGGTTGGATACTGCAAGTAATTTATGATAGGATTTCTCTAATCATCTTCAGCGATTATGGCAGAATTGACATCTATCAGCATTCCTCTGGTCAGAACAGATGGTAGACTCTTCTTTCCTACCTTGATGATCCTTTGCACACAGTCTTTAGGTATTTGTATACTTGTTGCTACCTGAGCCAACTCATTTGCTGCAAAGTTTTCTTCTCTTGGAATATGTTCCCAAGTGGCTTCTCTGAATTCGGTCAGAAGGTTTCTAGCTGCCACTAAATAGACAACTAGAGGACTTAGACATTTCTATGATGGATTTTACTTTATTTTTGTCAACCTCCATGCCCCTTTAGTGGACCAAGAAACATAAGAAATTTCCTGCCTGAACTCCAAAAACACATTTTTTGGGATTCATTTTCAACTTATGTTATCTCATTCTTAGGAATGCCTTCTTCAGATTTGATACATGATCTCCCTCCTCTGGGGATTTAATCACCACATCATCTATATATACTTCCAGAGAATGCCCTATCATATCATGGAAAACAGAATTCATTGCTCTTTGATAAGTGGCCCCTGCATTTCTTAAGCCAAAAGGCATTATAGTGTATTCAAAAGCACTTATATGTCCAGGGCACATGAAGGCTGTTTTATGGATGTCTTCTTCTGCTACCATGATCTGATTATATCCTGCATTACCATCCATAAAAGATAGCATTTGGTTATGAGCAGCTTCATCCACTAGCATATTTGCCATTGGCATAGGATATGCATCCTTGGGAGATGCTTCATTTAGATTCCTGTAATCCACACAGATCCTTACAGCCCCTGTTTTTCTTTTCAAGACTGGCACAATATTGGCTAGCCAATCAGCATAAATGGCTGGTATGATGAATTCTGCTTTGAGCAATCTTTCTATTTCTTCCTTGACCTTCAATTTTGTGTCCATAGACATCCTTGTTCTGGCCTGTTTGACTGGAAGGTAACCTTCTTTAAATGGCAGCTTGTGTTCTACCAGTTTTCTGTCTAATCCAGGTATCTCATGACAATGCCAGGTAAAATCATGAAAAAGTGCAATGATTTCACTCTTGAGTTGTTCTTCCAATAGTGCACTAATGAAAGTGGGTCTTGGATCATCTTCTGTCCCTAAGTTTATCTCTTGCAGTGGATCTTCTACTTCTAGTAAAGAATCATCTAGTGCTGCTGGTGCAAAATCTAGTACTTCCTCCTACAAACTCTCTTCCTACTCTTTAGTGCTCTCATGGGTGAATTATGCCATATTATGATGGCTGGATCCTACATAAAGAGCTTATTTTCTTCCCAATATATCAACAATCTTTTTGTAATGGATCGGATTGTTGCAGCTCGATCCTTCTCTTGTTGATTGGGACTAAACATCAGAGTTCTGGAGGTTTAGAACAAAAGATCTATTCCAATCCTCTAGAAAACTGGCTAAACCATCCTCAATGAGTCTCTGGGCCGTGATACCATGGGGGCGGCCGTTCTGGTTGACTCCAAGGAAGGTGAAAGGACTAAGGTCATCATGATAATACATTGCCTCAAAACACATGGCAGAGCGCAGAAATGGCCGTGGATCAGCCTCTACTATCTCATGTAACCTTTTTCATTCCAAAGGGCTAATTGCTGATAGAGTGGAAGGAACACATAAGCTTTGGTGAATCCAGTCACTACCAAGCAGTGCATTGTAAGTGGTAAAAGTGGTGTCTACCACAAAGAATGCAATCTTCAGCTCTTTGGTTTCAACTATGACATCCACATCCAGGATTCCATGAGTCTTGGTGATGCCCCCAGCAAAATTGGTCACAGTCAAACGTGTTGGAATTAAATCCTTCTCTGTTCTACCCATCAAGCTCAGTAATCTGTGAGGCAGAAGATTAATGGCTGCACCTCCATCTACCATGACTTTGGGAATGGGGATACCCCCAAAGTTTGCTGTTATGAACAAGGGCCTGAGGTGATTGGCCATTTCCTTGGTTGTTTTGGAGAAGCAAAGCTGCTCTGTAGCTGGTTTCAGGGTGGTTCCGCCTGTTTTGGCAGTAGGTGTTTGCTATTCTAGTGTTTCCTATACTTCTGCCAACCTGCACTCAAAGCTTTCTTGGGAGAATACGTCTCCTTCCAGAGGTATTTCTTGCCCTTCTGCTGCCCTGAATTTTTCTAGCAAGATGAAGACCATATTGATGCCCAGATCACCCTGCAACAGGTTTCCAATTATGCACCAAAAGCCTCAGTTTCCTCATCTAATTCTCCATCGTATTCCATCTGTTCTTCCCCATATTCTTCTGTCCAGTCTTCCCGTTCTCCTGCTTCGAGGAGTCCATTCTGGTTGTCTGCAGATGGCTCATAGTCCAACTGCTCCTCTTCATATTCTTCAATCCAGTCTTCTTGTCCTTCTACTAGAATAGGTTCGGGTTCTCCTTGTATTTGTGAAGGTTCAAGCTGGTGGGCTGAGGCTAAGGGAAGATGGACAGAAGATCTGTTTGGAGATTCCGGCTTTATCAGCTTTTGTGGCTGGCAAGCTGTTTGTTCTGCCATAGGAGGTTCTTCTAGTTTCTTCCCTTTTCTCGCAGAACTGGTTTCTGGAAGTACCTGTGTGTCATCCCTGTTTTTGAGAAATGTGTAGCCTTTGAACCCTCATCTTCTGAGTTCTGGTTAGTTCCAAAGTTGGTTTGCCGCTTTTCCCCACAGAATATCATATGCCTTCTATGATAGTTGCCAACGATTTTTCATCCCCAGGTGTCTTAATGGGTATCTCTTTCTTGGGTTGCTCTGTCATCCTTCTGTTGCGCTGAGCCGGCCTAAGGTAGTCCTTCTGTCTAGCTCTATCTCGAGAAGGAATCGGATCTGGGCCTTTCTGGTGGTGTGACATTCCAATCCTGTCAAAAACACTAGGTGTGGGTTGATTCGGCCTGTCCAGAACCACTTCTAACTCAGTTTCGCACCTGCACTTGCTGCAGAGCACTACCCCAGCTGAGATAGTTGCCCTTGGCCTTTGATTAGTTTCCCTTGTGACTGCTCTGCCTCTGCTGGAACTGGCTCCTCTCGTAGGTTTGTTTCTCTTTTGTTCTGGCAAATTTAAGTTGACCATGTTGACTTGTGGCTGGGGAAAAGGATCTGTTGTGACTGATGGAGGTTTCTCCGCCAGTTTCAACCTTCCTGCTGTTATTCCTTCCTATATGACATCCCTGAAAACAACACAACTATTGGTGGAATGGTTCCAAGAGTTGTGCCCCCTACAATACTGCCTGCCCTTGAGTTCTTCTGGCTTGGGCAACCTGTGGGGTGTCTCTATTGCCTTCTGTAGCAACATCTCATCAAACAAAGCATCCACCCTAGTCAGATCAAAGCAATAGACCTTGTTTTGCGTTGGTTTGTTTGGAACAAACCCTCCTATGAATGGTGGCTGCTTCTGGTCTTTTGGTGGCTTTGTAAGAGCCTTGCAGCTGATGGGATGTTTCAATTTTTCCATCTCTGCTACTGCAATTTCTCTTTCCTCCGAGCCTTCTGTACCTTCTTCTGATTCTACCTCAATTAGATGTACTAAAGAAGCAGGAGTTTTGTAGTATGTGCCTTTGGAAGAGTTCCTCTTCTATTGTTCTTCCCTAAGCAACTCCTTATATTTAGATGCTTTATCTGTTAGTTCTGCCAGGTCTCCAAATAGCATCCCATCAAATCTTTTTCTCAGAGAGATTTTAAGGGCGACTTGAGCCATCTGAATGAAGTGCCTTTCTTCCATAGGGATCCGGCATTTCATTTTGAGTTTTCTAAACCTGCTTATGAAGTCTTAAGCAGGTTCATCTACACTCTGCTTAAGGGCAGCAAGATCATTGATGGTGACTTCTAGCTGGATCTTGAAATAGTAGTCATGAAAAATATTTTCCATCTTCTCCCAAGTTTGAATAGAATTGGCTGGTAGACTGGTGTACCAGGTGAAAGCTTGTCCAGAGAGAGAATTTCCAAAAAGCCTTAGCTTCAACTGATGAAGCATGGGGGTCCTCTCCGTTGAACAAAGTGAAGTTTGGGACCTTAAAACCTAATGATAGAGGTATTTGATCAATGTAGGCCGAATATGGCTTTCTGTAGGTGGGCCTCTCTCCTCTTCTGGCCTCAGGCTCTATCATCCCCTTAATCATTCTCTGTAGTGCCCCCATGTCATTTAAAGCATTCATAGGGTGCAGATTTCGTCCCTGTTCTGGCTGGATCTGGTCAATCTTGTGCTCCATCCTGTATGGCCTGGGCAAAGCTTCCTCCCTGTGCTCTTCCTTTTCTTCTAGATCTGGATGGTGTCTCTAGTTTGCCCCCAGTCTGTTCCTGTCGTTGTTGGCAAAGGGGTTGAGCCCCCTTCTACCTCTTCTGCCTCTTGCTGGTGGAGGGAATGGATTGCGTCCATCCTTCTGGCCTAATTGGACCCTCATGCTCTCCCCTATGTCCAGCTTAGACTTCTCCATGTCCTTGTACTCCAGCTATCTATGCAATGAGAGGATTCTCTTGGTATGGCCAAGCCAATCCTGGTGGAGGGCCATAAGGGAGGTCTAGTTGCTGGACTACAACATCTGGGTTTGGAATTTTGGCCATGGCAACCTCACGGTCCTTCCTGAACTGTCTGTTGACTTGCCATTGCATCATGACTGTCATGTTATTTAGAGTATCCTAGCTCCTTTGTGCTGTAGCCTCCTGTCGAAATACAGCTTCCTGTCTCTGATTCAACCTTCTAGAGTCGGTCCTGGAACGTCTGCTTCCAGTGCTGCAGTGGGCTGATTGCCTAGCGTCACTTTCTTCTGACCCCAGACCTTCTCTCAGAGCTACTTGATTTATTTCCATGACGTGGTGAGGGTTCTGGCTAGAACTTTCAGTATTCATACACTTTTGGGACCTGTTTGTTGGAGTATGTGTACCAAGAAGTCCCACCGGGCGTGCCAAATTGTTCAACAAGTGATGGTAGGGTAAAGTTTCCCATTCCCTTGAAAACCATTGACTGGTCAACAAGTCAACTTTCTTTAGTGTGCGAGAGTGCCACTGCTAGCAATAACAATTCTAACAGACTTCTTAAAAATAGATAACTTGCGCCCTAAGTTACTGACTTCTAAAACAAGCGATTGTGAATTTGGGTGAGGAATATCTCCCAAGTAAGTTCTTTTCTTGCCTCAGACTGGTGAGGACTTCACAATTTATCTCAGTACAAAGTTGGTAGTTCTGGCCAGAATAAATGATAATAAAATGGGTTGTTTTAGGCAGAATTGCCTTTTACAAGACTTAGAACGAAAAAATCAACTCTAGAAAGGTAAAAAGAAGGCTGGAATTCCATTTATGTCTAGATAGAAGCTTCTGATCCGGGCTGGACTGAACTATCAACAACTCCAAATGCTAAGCTTCAGCTGTAAATCAATGCCAAAGTTTGATTTTGGCAGAGCTTTAATCTATTTCAAGCCTTGGAAGGCTTTTTGAACAGGCAGAACTGCAACTTCTTTAGTCTGAACAGGGCAGAAGTGGTTGGACTTGAGGATTATTGAGCCGGAACTGCACTATGGTACCTGTTTTGCTTGATTAGGGCTTTCCATAAATTTGTTGAGGTTTTCATATTTGTGAAAACTCAAACTCTGCTTGTCTTGGCTTTTGCTGAACCAAATTTGTAACGAAAGAAATCTCGTTTGAATGACTTATTTCTCTAAGTCTGGACTTGGAAGTTATGATTTATAGCTGGCTTCTTCTATGGCTTGAACGAGCTTTTGGTTGCTCCAACTTGTTTTGAAGGTTCTCAGTGATCAAGTGATCATTTTGAGTTTTTGCCTTTGGTTGGTTTTTGATTGTTTGATTGATTGTTGAGTTGAGTCTTGAAAAATGTGTGTGTTGCTCTGTTCACCCTCTCTTATATTTATAAGAAATGCTTTGGAGTAGGGTTTCTTTCTTTTAATAATGGGCGACAAAATTCTCAAAGAT